CCCCCCCCCCCCCCCCCCCCCCCCCCAAAAAAAAAAAAAATCCTTCTTAAAGAGCCATAGCTTCGACATCATCCATAAAAGAGTAGCCCTCCCGATGGTCCCTCACCATAGGTCAAACCCTAGCAAACATCACCTCAACCCTCGTGACGACATCCGTGTTCATTGTCAAAACCTCTCTCGTTGATTCCTCTCACTCGTTTTTCTTCCACAGGTGAAAAAGCTCTCAAGTCTCAACTCTCTTTCCCAAGCCACTTCACAACACTTGCTCACCGTCCTCTTTACCCAAACTTACCAAAACATCCTGAATATCCTCCAAGCCCACCATCAATTTAATATGATCCCATCACCTTAGAATTTCTCAATACTTTTCACCCCAACACAAATGACAATTCAATGAACAATAGAGCAGAAATGGAGGTTTATGTAAAAGTAAAAATTGTAGATTATTCTTAAAATCATTAAAAAAAATTTTTAATTTGAAATTTGAATATAGTCAGCGGGCTGTCTGCATATTAATTTTTTAAAGGCACAGGCCCAACAATGCACTGCTAACCAAGCTGTAGGGTCAAAAAATCCCACAACTTCATACCCAGCACGACTTGGGGTTGTATAAACGTTTACCCTATCTAGTGTGAATCGAATATTAGCAATTCTAACCCTTTTTCGTCTCTAGATTTTTGTCCGATTATTTAACCTTTAAAAAGTTATTAACAATGCATATGGAACACCATTTTTTCACGTCTCTCCTAGTCTAATTAATTTATGTTTATTCTTATTTCATTGAGACTAAGTGGTTTTACGCATTTTCTACAGAGGCTTCAAGAATAAGCCACGTGATAGTCAACTAACAAGCCTACTAGGTCCATAGTCCACTTTACTATCCTATTCAGGCTTATTCGAGGCCATAATTAAGGTAGTCGAAGTGATGTATCACCTAATCTGAGGTTCCATATAAAGAATGAACATATATGCCCTAGGCCCGATACAACCTGCTGTAGAAGTAATTCGAGGCAAATTGCCTCTTGCAAGAAAAAGGCATCATTTACTTCACCTCTTCCAACAAATATTCTACACAAGATCATTTTATAATTGATTGATGTGACATTTTTGCAGCAGACATAATCATCCTATCAGTCTTTTTTTTAGAGATCAGACCTAGGTTATAGGGTGGCTACTTGTGAGAAGTATTAAATGCGTTTGAACCTAGGATCAATTGAATGACACCAAGAAGAAGATACCAACCATCATGATGAGACCACTTATATTTCCATCAAACGATGATCAATCCTTTTCTTCCACAATAAAAACTCACACTTAGTTCTATTTTAAAAATATTGCAATTTTTTACACTCAATCGTAGGATTGCCCTCCCTTTCGTTTTGTCATTTCATAAACCGTTAGTGCGCTTACACTAACGTAACTCATATATTCTATTCATCCCAAACCCATATGTACTCTTATAAGTTGACTGACTTGATCGTCGGTGTATTCGCTGCTATTTTCCCATCGTCGAAGAAGGCTACGTGTTTTTAATAGTTTTCCAAGTGTGTAGAAGACTATCTATATGGGCGTGAGTGTAGTCAAGATATGTTGGCTACGTCAGCCGTTTAGAAATTGAGATCAACATATTGGCCCTGTTTATGGAAAACTATAATATTAACCACGAGCATTCCTATGAAATGCTTGCCGAAAAAGTGCTTCTACTTTCCCATTGAAAATGATTTTGTTCTCGAACAAATAACAATTGGAAATCTTAAAGAAAGAATATTCTAAGTGTTTTTCATCATTGGGTGTTTGTCTTCCTTGAAAATGGAGGATAAGAAGAGAAAAATTCACTCAAAAAAACTCCCTCTTTGAATAAAAGAGGCATCCATCCACCATGAGTGCAAGTGAAGAAGATAGAGATTCAAGGAGAAAATGTGAAATCTTTGAAGAAGAGACAACTTGTTACTTACCTTTGACCTCGTCATCATAAGGCAATAGGGTCATAGAACGTTTCATAAGAGAAGCGGTGACAAACGGTGACCATGTAAGTACTATGAACTCAATGACGATGACAACAACCTCTCATTCTCCAAAGGACTTTGGAGCACCTTTTTTTTAGCCATTTTGTGCTCCCAAGATACTAATGTATGATAGATGTGACCAAGAAGAACATAAGCGCTTACAAGAATCACATGACCTTAAGAGGAGCTTTAAAGACATTAAGGTGCAGAGCCTTCCACTAACCCTATTTGGGATAGCCAAGATGTGGTACAACAAGATCTACCTTGAGACCATTAGACGTTGGCCAAACTTCAAGACCAAATTTCTCAACAACTTCATATCCAAGAGAGAAGACGATGCCCCAGTTCAATGCTTCCAAGACATGAGATAAATAGTTGGTAAAAAACTACAGAGCTTTTTAGACCTTTTATGTGAGAGAAAATTGTCAATGAGAAAATGATTGACCATAACAGTAAGATAGTTAGTGGACTCACATCCTCTCATGGGCAAATAGGTAGAGGTCCAATCTTCCACCTAGTGAAATAGCATTGGACTTAATCAGGGCACCAAATTGCCTCCAGCTATATTAAATGTGGTGCCTTCCCTACCCTATTATGAGGCTGGGCCAGTGGTTATAGAAATTAAGAAGCTATTCC